AACGTTGGCCTCACTAGCATTATTGGTATGTGACAAACATACAGTCATTTATTCAGTTTGTCACGTGATCAATTGCGTTTACACCCCAATAATTTTAGTGAGATCAACATTTAATTCAGATACTTTTATTAATACAATTTTCACCTTTTTTATAGATTGGTTCCTTGAATTTGCCACAAATCTTAGATTGCATCATTGTTGTGTTTTGACGAAAAATTTACGAAAAATAAACGCCAGTTTGCGTAACTGGTTTAATAAAGGGAGTGAAAGTAGAAATGTCAATATTCAAGTATAAACTATATTTCTGTTATATTCTTTAGAAGTTTTTTTTGAAAAAACCAAAGTGTAAAAACTGTCAAAATTGCCACATTGTACCAAAAGTTTCCAGCTTGTCTTTAAATTGTCAATGAAAATCTCAATATTTTTGTGTTAATGTATTTTTTGTGTTTATGTATTTTTTGTGTTTATGTATTTTTTGTGTTCATGTATTTTTTGTGTTAATGTATTTTTTGTGTTAATGTATTTTTTGTGTTTATGTATTTTTTGTGTTAATGTATCTTTTGTGCAAGCGATATTGCATTAAACAGAGTCTGGCCAAAATAAAATCTGGGAACCCTCCTTTAATTGTAAAAGCTGTCAAACCTTGTTGATACCCCGGACTTTCAATTTATAGATTTTGTCAAAGAGATTGTTTAAAATATTGAAAAGTTCCACCCAAGTGGAAATCTAAATGGATTATTTTCAGGAACAATCTCCAAGACTTTGACAATTCTGACAGGAATTTCTGTATTCAAAGGAAGAATAATTTTTACATTTCTATTGTTACTGTTTCTACAATAGATGAGATTTTCTATGATAATAAATTCTATTTGTTTGACTGACTGTGATATTTTTCCATTATTTCTGTCATTTCAACTTTTTCTAGGATTTCAGTTTGTATGGTAGAACTCCATCATATCATGAATACGGGTTTTGACATAGTCTTATAAACCCGTATTAAACTTAGCCCACTACACTTCGTTTTGGGGGGGCATGGAAATGTTAGATGATCGCAAACAAAGCGGCTGAGATTTTACTAGCATAACAGCAGGACAAATTTTGATTGGACAATATTTATCTATGAATACGTAATTTCTCTCGCCTGTATTACCACGGTCTGGAGGAAGTATAACGTGGGCGTGGGGGTGTGACACGATGGTTCAAACTCCAGACAATATTGCTGAATAATTTGATAAAGTTTTTTCAAAGATTAAGGGTCAAATCTGACAAAACACGATAAGACATGACTTATAAAAAAAGAAAACTATTCTGACAGAGCACAAAAATATAATAATGCTGCAGTAAGACAAGGATTATATATGGAACAACACAAATAGAAATAGAATTTGTTTACTATTTCCATTTGTCAGGCCATGTACCCAGCAGTATGTATAGTTTTGCAATTTTCTTGTTTCTATTTGTTCGTGTCATTACATATCGTGTTGGATCTGATGTATAAACCCCTTTAACGTTACAGTGTATAGAATCAACATGAAGCCTATATAAATCCTGTAATAAAGAAATTATTTCATTTTGCCACCAGTTTAATATTTTTGATATTTACCATCTAGTAAAGTTAAAATCTGTAATATTAATTATATATTAGGACTATAAAACTGCTGGTTATTAATAATTTAACTGTATTTTAATTATCACTAATTAGCCAATACTTACTGTTTTTATACTCTTTAGTGATTCTACCACCGACAACATTTTTATATAATACTCTTAATATCTGATTCACAGTGGGGTGGGCATGTCTAGGTCAGGATGATCCGGTCTAGTGTCTATCAGCAACATTGTCCAGTGGTTGGATTTTTTAAATATTTAAGAATGGTCAGAGTTTTTTTTATAATACTTATTCTCAGTAGATAAGTCTATAACTCATGGATTGAAAGTTCCATTTTAGGATTTTGTTTGTAATTCTAAGTATCGATGTCAGATTTTCGGCGCTTCGTATTCCAACTAGCATTAGAAGAGAGAGTTCAACTATATATATATATATATATAGGTTTATTAGTATTCAAGATTCAGTCATCAATTGATAATATATCACAAACACTTTTAACACATTTTTCTCACAATGGTTCCAGCCTGTTTGCTGTTTGCCTCTAGAGCAATATATTTTAAAGCCTGATTGTCTCTGCAATAACAATCCAAAATATAACAAACTTTTTAAACTGAATATTCTAATTCCTTATGTAGAATAAATTTTAGCATACTGTTGGAAATGTTTTTAAAAACAGCTAAATCCAATACACTGGAAACTTTTCAGAATAAAAAAATCACCACATCTAACACAGTAAAAATACCAGAGTTCTTCTACATAGAAACAAAATGTTGGTCTTCTTAATTCTTGCAGAACTCTTCAGAAATCAAAAACACAAGAAACTTTTCAAATCAAAAAATTCAGAAGAACTACATAGTTTTAAACTGTGGAAATACTGAGACGCTTTCATGAATTGTTGATCCTAGTAACTGTAACATTTCACTGAACTGACTAAATTTATAGTTAATTCCTACACACTTGAAACTTTTCTTCTTCAAACCAGAGATTAAAAGTGAAGTTTTTGAAGATAGAAACAAGATAACTTTATCTCATCTTTTCACAAATTTTTTTTTCAAAATATCATGTAACAATTCGAAAGTTGTCTTTAACACAGATGCTAACATAGTTTAATACTAATCTTTATAGTGGGAACTTGGAATTCTGCCCGAATTACAGTGAAATAAAATTTGAAGTTTTGTTGATGTTTATGATAATCAGACCTCCAATTTTCTTATATTCTAGAATCAGATTATTAACTCTGTAATATGATTGGTTGAATTATTTCTCACATCCAATCAAACGCAAGTTTCATTGAACCACATAAAGATAAAGATCATTTGCTCACTTTCTATATATCTTAATTTCAGATTCTGAATTCTGTAATATGATTGGATAACATCATTCCTTCAACCAATCAAACGTTAGTTTCAATGAACTGTATCAAGAATGAAGAGAACTATATGATATATATTAATAGTATAATATAGTAGAGAGTAATGTCCCCTGACGGTATATAATGAAATTAGAAGATAGATATTCTGTGAAAAGGAGGTCCCCGAGGATTGATTCTGTCTAATTAAGAAACATGAGATATGAGTTCTACAAGATATGAATAATCAGAATATTGTATGAAACGTTCTGGACATTGTCTTTTGAAAAGGATTTTATCAGGAGCAGAGGAACATGTGAGGATTAAAAGGAGTTCCACTGTATTTTTTTGTTGTAGAAATGGTCTGTGCAGCTTCTAATAAGGATATATAGCCACAGCTTTATAGAACAACAATCACTGGTTAAAGTTTTATGTAATGTTTCCAAGAGTTTCTCCTGTCGTCCTCAGACAGTTGCTAAATGCCATTTAAAGACTTCTATTAAGGAGTTAGAAACGAAATCTTCCTGCGAGAAATCTGCAAAAAAGTTATTGGTTGTTTCTACTTATATATGTCTATCTTCCTGGACATTGTTTAAAGCAACTTAAAACGTTTTAAATACTTCTAGTAAAGAAACTTGGTTAACTGTTTCTACTCATTTCCTTTAAACTCTTCCAGGTGACTTGTATCAATTGATCTACTATTTATAAATTCTAGTTAATCTTGACCACCAACAATTCATAGAACACCAGTGTCCAAGAGACAGATGGAGAGAGAGGTGCATGCTTATCTGAAATCTATCCTCAAGGTCAATTGCTAGGCCTTTGGGTCCTAAGATTACAAATTTGCAAAAAAAACCACATTGATTCTAGCGTCCATCCCAACTTCTAATAACATTTATTTACGATTTTAACAATTTAGGATGAACCTATCACTTGAAGTTCTAGTTCTCTGACATCTATAATGAACGTAAACATACCATCTAGTACAAGTATTTCAAAGATAATACAACATGAAATTTAAAACTAACCAAAAACTTTACGACTTTACAGGATAAAAATTGAACAACCACTTCACAGTAGTTACATATATCAAACTAAAATATCCCACTGAGTTATCATGTTAACTTAGTAACACCAGCCTGCCAAAAAGTTGAAGTTATTTCGACCTTGGGTTAAAATGATAATTAGTAGTGGTCTGAAGCCAATTTTTACATCATTTTGGTGTTGTTTATCACAGCAGGGGGCATAACTCATAAACATCATGCTTCCGTTTTTTGCTGCTATTGAAGTTGAAATCAGTACAACTGATCGTTAATAGCAACAGGGTGCTAGCTTTAACAACATCATAAAGTAAGGTTTTTGTAAAAAAGAAATAAAATATTTGTGATCATTTTGAAAGTAAGAGAGTCAGCAAGTTGAAGTAGTATGACCTTGGGTTAAATTGATAATTCAAAGTGGTCTGAAGCCAATTTTTAAGTCATTTCTTGTTGTTTATCACAACAGGGGCACTAACTCAAAATCATCAAGGAGTTGGGTTTTTTGAGAGCCAGCAAGTTGAAGTTAGTGCAACCTTGGGTTAAAGAGATAATTCATAGTGGTCTAAAGCCCCTTTTTAAGTTATTTGCTTTTATTGTAACTGTTGGTGATCACTTAACCACATTCTTCCTGGGGAAGTGAAATTGTGTTTATGTTGTTTATTGTACCTCAAGCGTACACAAATATCCTAACTTACAAATACTATGTTAAGAAAGTGTTAAAATTGTATGATTTTAATGTGTTTTGAGTAGGTGTAAGGTAGCGCTAGATTGGTTAGTTCTGAACAGGTTCTGATTATTTCATATTTCAATTCTGGCTTCAATCTAATGGTATAAAAACAGAATGTCACATTCAAAGCTTACTTGTCTATTTCTTTCTTTGCATTTTAAATTCTGGCATACACTCTGAACTCTGTTCCAATTTGTTTTATTGAACTTCTGTTGATTACATGAATCACAAACGAGCACGACACCCAATACATCCTTTAACGAATAACGAGTTACTTACCCTTGTTTTTCCAACCTGCCAATCTGTTGAAGGTAAATTCAGTAAGTCTAAGACTTGACGACAAGATCTACCAGGGTTCTCTTCATCTACTTTCATATTCTTCAACAATATACTATACTTCGCTAGGAAGGTTTCTAACGGCACGTGGACTGGATAACCCTAGAAAAATATATAACATAGTTTGATTATATAGTCTCTTTTATCCAGAACAAAAAATAATTTAGAATATTCCTAGTATAATATGTGACTATAGTCCCTTTTGTCCTGAACAAATAGTGAATTGCTAAATATCATCAATGAGTCAGTTACCAGGTGTGTTGAAGTCATCTAATTATATTGAAGACCTACCTCTCTCTTAATTCTAATAATATCCAACATTCCAGAATATCTTAACTGAGATAACACTTCTTCATCTCGAAAATCATTGGCTACTTTCTTAGAATTTGGCTTCAAACATCGAACATACCTACAGAACAAGATAGGGAAAAATTATTTAGATTTTAAATTAATCAATATGCATGGGCTATCTTGGAGGAAGATAAGAAAACTAAACAAGAGTTACTACAGCTAACGTAATTGTTTAGCTATGACAGTTATTATCTGAGAGGAAAGTAGATTGATCATGCCACTGTATGAAGGCTCAGAACTATAGAAAAAACTCACCAAGGGTTTGTTGTGTCGAGAACGTCCACAAGGGCAGATAACTGATGTTTAAATGTATCTCCTACTGTAGGTTTACCCCGAGCTGTTTTAGATATGGTTTGTCTCCCTTTTAAATCTTCTAATCTTACTCCCAATAAATCCTACAAATACAAATTATATTCATTGAAGTGAAATATTGCTTCCAACTTTTCTAAACCTGATTGGGCTCATGAGGACTGAAAATGCCATAATATTTGTAATGAGGGGGATTTTGCAAGGACAGCAGCATTAGCCCACCTTTCATGGATTTCAAACTGCGAGGGATCTTCATTGTGCATAGCCTGTAGCACATGAGTCTTAGTTTATTGTCTCAGGACCTGCAGCAAGCAAGCCTGTACCTCCCTGTGCCACTGTGCCTCCACAAATAAGATTCAAGACCAACATACCTGAAACCTGGTAAGATCAGTAACAAACACATTGGTAGAATTATGCATCAGTTCAAACAGCTGATCTTGTTGTGTGTCTTTATTTTTATCCAGGAAGCCATTAATATTATATATAACAGCCCCTGCGTAATGCTGGATACCAAATTCCTTCGTCCATGTCCGTCGATCTTGACCCTTAATGTAACATTCGTGAGCCTCGAACTCAGTGTGCTGTTTGGCTAAGTATGATTTATCAGTTCCCTGTAATTAGAATTAAGGTTCTTAGGTTACTCAATTATCGATCGGTCCCTAGCAACAGGGTTCTGATTTGGAAAAAAATTAAGGAAAGCCCATCAATTAATTAAGTTAATTAAATAAAAATATAATGTCATCTACCCTGAATTTTGTTTCAAATTTTAAATCAAATTGTTTACTTTATGGTAAACATAATAATAACAGAGTTATTTCCCATGATTCATATAAACTACTATAATATTGTACCCTTCTATAACACACTACAAATATTAATCATATCAAATTATATTATAAATTCCCCTAAAGGGGAAAACAATAAAAAGTATATAAATACTATTGTCATGTTGATTAACATTTCAGCTAATTAATACTTTCTTCAGAAACACTTCAGTAACTTATAATCACATTTTTTCGTCTTTCCTTTACTTACATCAAGTTTAGAATCATTCCTTAAACTTGATATAAGGCCCACATGATGCAGAAGGACGTAAAACTCCATTCATTTCATTTAAACTTGATATAAGTAGAGGAAAGACGGAAAAAATGCAATCATAAACTACTGACGTGTGACGTGTTTCTGAAGAAAGTAATTAATCATATCATCAGATTTAAAGAAACAAGACTCCAAAAATATTAATCAAAAAGAGAAAAGTTACCTGTGGAAAACGACACTCTTCATCCAAAATCTTTAAAATACATCGTGGAGGCTGAAATAGTACGAAATTAAACATTTTAAAACACACAGAAAGATGTACCTCTGTTGAATTGGGTTGCAAGTTGATGTTAATATACTTGGTAACATGGTTATAGGTTCTAATCTCGGTCGGTGAAAATCTGATGACCATGAATAAGTCATCTTTTCTAAATATTCCAGTCGACCCAGCTGTAAAGATTGGCCAAGGACCAGCTGGTAAAAAGGATCATTGTGAACCTAAGTTGTTATCTTTGTAGACAGATTGGTTCTTTCTTTCATACAATATCAATATAAAATATCTACCTACCTTTTCTATCAACTCGACACATTTAGTATTATCAGTAAATGTTATATGAGCAAATTCTATCTCTTCTTCTTTATACTACAATTTAGAAATATTGAGGTTGGACAATGACAAATATTTGGATAAAATGAACCATGATATGGGGACATGATTTAAATCACTTAGTTTAGATTGACCATGTAAATCTAACTTCAATACATCCTGACTTTATGATAAATATTCCTAGCAATTAGTTGATTGAAGACTAGTTTTTATATGATCAATAAGCTAATAGCTTAGAGCCAATAAAACAAGGATCAACTTTGCTCTATTGGCCAGTTATCTCATGTATCACAAGTGTGAAAACTTATATGTTAAAAATAAAACTTGGGATTTCTTTTCATTATGAGATTTGTTGTGAAACTTGACTATAGGATCATTTATTTTACATATTTACATCAAGAATTGGTAACAAATTAGACGTTATGAAGTCCAATATCAGCCCTGAACCATAGTAATAAATGATATCAATAATAATGATGAATATTTTGTGGAACTTTCATCAAATACGACATAATTTATATCAAATAAATATGAAATATTTATAACAATTAGTGAAATAGAACATTAGTTTTCTCTTCATTATATCATTCAGAATAATTTATACTCATTCTGTAACGTTTTTTATTTAATACATTAATATAACTTTATCATAGTTAGATCTGTAACATCAATGGTTCCTTTCATCAAAGTAACAAGAAATTGTCAGCTAAGATGAACACATTTGATCATATATTTTACAGCATATTGATAGTTAACAATGAAGACCTTGATATCTCAGTCTATGTCAGGTATATTTTTATTATATAAGCTAATATACAATATCACTATGTATTACAAACATCTTTAAGATACTAGTTGTATCAAATACAAATAGTTTCAAAAACAAAACATTAGTACCGGTAATTTAACTATTAGTAAAATCATTCAAGCAATAACGACATTCAATAATCCTTGAAAGATCAATACCAAGTCAAGGACCAGCTGGTAGAAAGGATCCTTTACTGTTATCCTTGTAAAATATAGTTGTTTCTTTCTTTCTTTCTTTGTTAAAATACCAAACATTCATTCATTTATGTTTCCAACCACCAGTCTTCCAGCAAGGTAAATATCTTCAGATGTTTTAGAAGTCAGATATAAAAATATCAATATTTCTCACACAGAAAACAGAAACCAATAATTTATTATATATCTCTTTCATTGTAAACAGATGGAAAAAGAAACATTTTCTGTAGCCAATTAACTAGGATAGTTTGACTGGAAACTTTTCACTTGAGATCATCTTGAGTTATTTTGATATTTTATTATGATGGGCTCAAATAACAACAAAACCACCTGGTGGTGACTCTACCAAAACATCAATGTCAGGTAGTGATCTGAATATAGTTTCATAAAAGCACTGGCAAAGGTGACAAATTAAATTGGTAATAACTCATCCAATTGTTAATTCTCATCTCAGTCAGTATGTGAAAGTCTGATGACCTTGAAAAAGGTATCTTCACTAATAATTCCAGTCGACCCAGCTGTAGATGGGTACTGGATAATCCAGGAAAGATCAATGTTCAGTCAAAGACCAGCTGGTAGAAAAGATTCCTTTTGAACCCAAGTGGTTATCCTTGTAAAAAATTGGTTGCTTCTTTCTTACTTTTTCTGCAGCAGAATTTGGAACAAGTGGTACCATACTATAAAAAACATATAGGCAATATCTTAAGCTTCCAGAACTTGGTCTGCAGCTAAAAATGGTACCAAACTATCAAAAGGTAAAAATTTCTCAACTCTTAACATCGGCATCTTCAACAGAATTTTAGAAATATCATGCACCAAACTTTCAGACAAATGGCACCAAAATATGAAGGACATAGACAATAACTTCAGCTTTTATTAACTGCATCTTCAGTGGAATTTGGAACAAGTAGCACTATACTATCAAAGACATACAGACTATAACTTCAGCTTTTCAGAACTGCATATTCAGCAGATTTTTTCAACAAATGGTACCTATAATACCTGCCTGCCTGTCTGTTGTTATATTGGATATTGGAACGAGAATCATGTCAGTTTGTCTATGATTATTGTAAACAAGTACAGACAAGAAGTTTATACTTTTATAAACATGTTCAACTTGTTTTCATCGGCTACCTGACTTTTAACATATCAATCTTAAAGAGGCGGACTTTCACTATTTAAATCAGTGAATCGTTGCAGCTCTAGCTACCAGATTTTCAACATTTTATTATAAAAGAAGCTATCAGAAGGAGAAATCAATGAATCACTGCAGCTATAACTTTCAACATTTTATCACAAGGAGAAAATCAACATTAGAAACACAAACTACAAGTCCACAAAGTAGACAAAATAGTGAGTGAGGTAGACATGAAATGTGTCAGTTATCCACCTGAATCATGAACAGAAAGACAATGCAGGTGTTTAATTATCTAGTTTTACCAGACAACACTAATAAATAAGTTTGTAAAACCAGTTCCATTTTTAGTGCAAAATGCCACTTTAAATCAACCTGCGTGTGTGTGTCTGCTACCTGGCTTGTGCCGTTTGATATTTCAATTCTGCGTTTGTATATTAATATCATAAAGGTGAATGAATGGGGTGGAGGGAGAGATGAAATTTCTTTACTGACGAAAAACATATGGTAGACTTGAAAGAGTGAAGGTGTTTCCAGTATAAACACTAGCGCTGACGGAAGGAAGGTGTTTCCAGTATAAATACTAGAGCTGACGGAAGGAAGGTGTTTCCAGTATAAATACCAGTAAAAGAACATGATAAATATTGAAAGTTCAATGACTCTAGAAAAATACATGGTGTTCCACAGTTAAATGGCATCATCAATTGATAAATGTGGATATTTCTTAATAATGCAGCTAAGACTGAATCTTGTTCCCCAGGGCAACTGAAACCAGGCTTACAATAGACCCTAGTGACCATGACGGCAAAGAGTTTAAATTTTCTTAACCCGACTTCTAGATCTATCAGTCCCTTCTGGCAGTAATTTCTGTGGCCAGAATGTAATCCAGGCAGACATTTTTATAATTTAAACAAACCCAGTAAAATCTGAGTAGTTTGTAAATAAACTTGACTTGACAAGATAAAAAACAGACTAGAAAGTATTTAAAACAATTACATTTCATCGTTTGTTAGTGAGACACACCTAGCCTTCACTGCTTCTAGAAGATGACTTCTGGCTTCGTGATATTTTTAAACAAAGGAATCTTGGAAACCACATGGTCTGTACTGTACCCTCAGGTGATAAGACTCTCAATCTTATTATTTCTTAATCTCAGACTGATTGATTCAAAATATAACACTAGCATTCAAAAATAAAACAGGGTTTGGCTTAATGAAGACAGGCAATGAGTATGTACTGAGAGAAACTTTCCTGTCAATGGATCTCTAACATACACAGATTGAATTGATGTCAACTCTGACTGACTAAAAGCTTTTACCATGTCAATCCCTTCAGCCTGCATCACTGACAGGAGGAAACCAGTTTGAAACATCCAAAAGCAGTCTTAAGCAGTAAAAAGAACTCTTTACTGACAAAATAGCATAACTTAGTGTCTCCTCTGAAAACAAGCCTAGATGTTCCTAAAATATCTTTGACAATAATATCTCTGGGGCCTCAGTCTCGAAAACTTTAACTAAGATAAAAATTCCAAATTTAAGATTGATTTTAAAGATTGACTATCAGATGATAAGTTAAGGTTTTTAAGAATAAAATCTGAGACAATCAACAATAACATCCTCTATAGTAGTTTGTATCATGATGACTGTTGTTTCCTGTCTAGAGGTATGTTGTTTTTATTAGTACCACCCTAATACTGTTCTTAGTGAAAACTATCAGATTAATATCATTATATTTCTACTTGACTAGTCTATACAACTACAATATGGTTTGTAAGAAGATAGTCAAACTACCCAGTTGGCTACCAATTTCTCAATGAAGTATTTGTTCCAACATGTGCCAGATCATTTAGGACCCTTCCACAAAATCTAAATAAAACATGGCTAACCAGCCCACAAGATTTGTAAAAGTTTTGTGATAAAGAGGATGTGAAATTTGTTCAGAAAGATATTCTACACCAAAACTAAATTTCTTGGATGAATACACAAATGGCTTCTTAGTGGAAGGTTAAATTTACAATAAATACACTAACCATTATAAAGCAGCAATGGTCAAGTCATTTTTCTGTTAGAAATGAGTAGAATGAGTTTGGATAATGTAGGAAGAGGAAGCAAATTCATCCAAGATATGGTCAAGTAATCTTTGTGAGAATTTCTTTTATGGACAGAGCTGGGAGAAAATAAACTATCATGCAGAATAAAAATCAAAATTAAAGGGGCTATGTTCAAGGAATTCTTTTGTAGAAACAGGCAATTTCTCACATTAAACAGGTACAGTGTAGGAAAAGATTGACAAGCTATCATACAGAATAAAAATCAAAATTAAACAGGTACAGTGTAGGAAACGATTGACAAGCTATCATACAGAATAAAAATCAAAATTAAACAGGTACAGTGTAGGAAACGATTGACAAGCTATCATACAGAATATAGATAAGAGTTTTACTTACTGTTTCTTGTTCTAAGGCAAATACATAATGATTAAAAAATCGATGTAATTTCTCGTTTGTGTAGTTGATACATAACTGTTCAAAACTATTCGTCTAAAAAATACAAAATACATCTCTGGTTAATGTTGGAATTGAAATATTTGAAAATGTTAGACTGAATTATGCGAAACAGACCAACATTCAAAACTGTCTGTGTGAAAATATACAAAATAGATCAGATATTGACTGAATCCAGTATTGGTTACTCTTTAAAACAACAAGTTATATACATAATAAAAGGATTGTAAGAGGGTTTCTAGCTATTTAGAGGTCATATTAATAAGGCTTTTATTGGGATCATTCAAATTTTCAGTCAGATGTCTGTGGTTCCTGTTATTATAGAGATTCTTAACCATGTAATATGTTACTATCGCAAAGCCTACATCATAATACCCTTATTTTTAGTGGAATTACAACAGTCAGACGTCTGATTGAAAATTAGAAGAGCACAAAATGATGCTATCCTATTAGTATCCCTGATTCAGCGAACCTGGTAAACATGAAAAACTAGAAAGCCTTTAGTAGTTTGCCCTCGTTCATCTTGAACCTATTAAGTTTACACTTAAATACAATTTTGCTCCTTTTTTCATTTTGTGAAGAATGAACTCAGTGAATCGTTCTTAATGCACCAGAAAAATAAAATAATAAACTAGAAGTTGTTAGCAATGTTTATAATTTATAAGATGGTGAAAGAATTCCAGTCTGATAATTTAATAATCAGCATTAAACAGACTAAATATATATATATACTGATAATAATATTATAACTTCTAGATCATATTGACCTGACTTAGAAACATCAAGAACTACAGCAGAATAAGTTTATCTGACATAGAAATAACCTAGTTCAGTTAGGCTCTTCAGTAAGAATCTATGGTCATAGCAGTGCTGTCTTTCCATTGGAAATAAATACACCAAATAACAAAATAACAATAATTATACAGGCTGTACAAAAGGGATGCCAAATAACAGTAGGAAAGTGGCTTAAGATTGGTGTGCATGCCCAGCCTAGTTAAAGAGATTGTAAAGAGCTTTTCTAAACTTTTTATGTGTATCGGGGACACAAATAGCTTCAATTTGTACCATTCCAATTTTTATTCTGACGTCTGTGGTTTTTGCAATTCCACTAAAACTAACGCGTTATATGACGTCACTAGAGGGGAACTGCATAGATATTGATACTAGCTTCTGGTAGCTCCCCCCTAGTGACATCATAAAAAGCGTTAGTTTTAGTGAAATTGCAGGAATCACAGACGTATGATTTAAAATTGGAAAATTGGTACAAATTGAAGCTATCAGCGTCCCTGATACACATACAAAATTTAAAAAACCTTTTACAATCCCTTTAATGAGACAAACTACAGTAACCAAACTCAAATTCAATTTAAAATCTTGACTAAAACTCTAAAGATAAGAGCTAAGCAGTATAATAATATTCTGTTCTGTATTTCCTATGTTTAATATATTGAATACAGCATGTTATAACTAGACAATGTTTGTAGTCTAAGGAAGGAAGTTTTAATTATAACACTCTGAATACTTTCTAGTAGTTTAAATAGGATTTCCGTTTATATACAATACATACACGAAATGACTTATCTTTCTTAACTGGGAATCGAGGTCAGTCTCCTGTTCACTGACTGCTATCCACTCCACATCTTACATGCATCTTGTTCGATTAATTTCCTCTTTTTAAACTTCCTCATTATTTGGGTACGTCCTCGTTTCTTGTATTTATTAAATTAAAGGGATGGTTTTCACCATCCGTTTGACCTATTGTACCTTAGTCCCAGAAACTGCAATTTTTTAGCCAAGCTAATCAGTAATAGTGTTTACAGATCATTGTTGAAATTTGAGCCGTGAATTCCATGTGTGTCCTGAATTATCTGCGTTGACTCGTCTATTCTTGAGACACTGCCATATATAGAAAATACATTTATAGAAATAGGAAATTTATTAGTATTTTCAAAGACATTATGCAATTTTTATACATTTCTAGTACTTATGAAGACTATTTATATATTTTCAAGAATTAAATTAATGCCTGAAAATATTGAATTATGAAGTCTCTCAATGTTTATACTTCAATCTCAAATCTAAAATACAACACAGTCTTAACACTTATTTCAGTGGCACATCATGCTCTATGTGTTTTTATAGAATTAATTTAGGTGTCAAAATAATTTATAAATTCTACCAGGAAACCACTTTCTAAACCAATAAACATGGCCTCTTGTAGTTTTGCTGAAGAGTTGTTTAATTGTCAACAATAAATTCCAATAGCCAACCATTTTAACCTTAGTTATTTAAAACAATTACCATTTCAATCAGCTTGAATGTCACCTTCCTTCAGAACTGACAGCTTGATCAATAACATACACAATTTCATTATTGTCTAATTAAAGGTATACTGTCATCTAAATATTCCCTTAGCTGATGGTAGACACAATGAGTGGCAGAGCCAAAGGGGGGCAGGGGGGCCAGAGGGCAAAATATCTGAGGCGCAAGCCTGGCTCCGCCACTGGACACAATTTCACTATTATTAGATTATAGAGATGTCTGCTTTTTATAAGACAATGCCCAATATACTAGAATTATTTATCAAATATCAGAACAGAAGTTAAAAGTCAAAATGAAGTATATTAATCAAGAGCCATGTTTCTGGCTGGCTGACAACTGTCAATATTAGCTATCAGAGTCAGCTAGTTTCAGGCCATTCTGAAAGGTTCACCTAATTACCACTGAGACAGAGTGAGCATGTATTGGCCAATTGCTCTTCATATTACTAGGTAAGACTCAATAACTTTCTCTCTGATTGCCAAATATAAAAAAATAGCTTTCACAGGCAATATCAAGGCCAACAACTTTGAAGTTTTTAAATAGACAAGAGGTGTTGAAATATGGCTGATTAAGAATGGAATAGTTGAGAACTATTAGTTTGATTGGTATTCTGATAACAAACAGACACAATTACCAACCTCACAGATTTCATCTTTTTCTCCTGTTTGTTTCTTTGAATAAAAAGGAGGTGTTTTTTTTATCACAAAGTGTCTGATTAGTTTCTAACATAAAAACATCACAAGAATTATCTTAAAGATACAGGTATCTGTAAGAAAGATATATTTTAAGAAATGAGAACCAGGGTTCTTTGTTTCAAAAGTTCTCCAGAATATAATTTTTGTATAATTTCTAATATGGGACATACGATATAGTTAAAAATGTTACAGTTTTAGATTAATATTTGCTTTACTGACATCTCATTTTTAGCTTCTATTATAATTTTAAGAATGAAATCGGCTGTCTGACTGAGACAAAGTGGTGCTTCTTTAGGCCATCTTTAAATGGGTAAAGATAATCTGAGGAAGATAATCCTAAGGAAGGTAAAAGGTCAAAGATCAGCTAGTAGACAGGATTCTCCAGAGCCTCAGTTATTATCCTTGCAATCAAATGATTTCTTCTGTCTTTTTATTGGCCTGTCATTGTGAGGGACAAGAATATTTTACTAAAAAATGTTCCATCTGTTTGAGTGCGATATTCAGATGAAATCCATTATATATTACAATCAATCAGACACTAGGACAACTATACCTTATAGTTTATACGTTTCTGGTTTGTGTTGAAAACCTACTTACGTGAACCTGCATCAGAAGACAAAAATTATCATATATATAAGATGCAATTATACGACCAGTCTCTCTGTCATTCCAGTCTTGATATATCACGTTATTATGCTGACAAATGTAGAAATTATATTTGCAGACTGCTTCGTTTATTTGATATTGATATTATTCCTGTCTCATGTTTCCTCAGAGGCAGTGGGGCCTCCAGAGACTGGGGATACAAACAGGTGACAGACTGACTTGATGGGGGGATAACTGTCAAGGCTGAAGCTCATGGGTGTAAGCCTTTAAGGAATAGGTCTTAATTCTATGTCTAGTCACTGATAATCAGAGATAACTGGTCACATAGCCAATCTTTATCTCTTCTATGTCTTATTCTTTAAGGTCATTGAAGAAATGATAATATTGTATACTAGAATTCAATCTGAATCTTTAAATTATATCTAGCCCAGTTTTCTGCTTTCCCAAATTTTTTGAAGCACTTTTCATGTCCTCTGTACTCTGTTTAAGCAGTTTGGACTGATATATTAAGAATGAGACTAAGTATATGACTATATTCAAGTATGCAAAAAATTAATTTTCAAAAACGTATGAAAGATGACTTGGAACGGAGTAAAATCTATCAAAGGAAACAAAGTTAAAATCACGCCATAATTAAACAAGTAGGCTATTGTATTTTCTGACATAAAATTATTGAAAAATATTCAAATATACAGGAAACTATACCAAAATATACTGGAGGTACTTCAATATATAATTAGTAGTGTGGGTCAAGTACACTTTAACTCTAAAATAACAAATTATTCTTATAAACTTGTTTTTTTTTTTAAATTTTAGAGGCAGTATGTGTTAGTTTACATGATATATTTTGATAAAATTAAAATGAGGTGCTAGAAACTATGATTGTCTTGTAAAACTGACCAGTACTTTTGAAAATCAGACACTTTTGTAAAGTAAAGAATCACAAACAGGTCACGAAACTTACTCTCTCTACTGAAATTTATGGAAAAGCTAAACTTGACTTGACAATATTAATAAAACCTATAAATTATTGAGCACTGGGAGAAGTATTTGGTTACAGTTCCTGTCTTTCAGAAGCTGGATAACACTGTTTAAAAAATGTCTAATCATTCTGCTAGGACAATAAACTGTGGCCCTGTGTACTACAGGACAGTTTAAAACTAGTAAAGAGTAGTCTAATACTGTAGTGCTGGTATAATTTTCCCTCATTGTCCACTGAACATTGTCCTAAATGAATATATTAAGATCTGAAAACTAGCAAATTACATCCTAACAACTCTACCACTTTATTTTCAATATCTGTTGACAGGTGGAAATCGGTTAAGAGTAGCCTTATGCTGCAGTGTTGGCAGAAATTTCCCCATGGCTTTGTCCATAATGATAGCTAGTAGAGTAGAATCTGATAAACATTCTCATTACAATCCAACAAATCTACAACATTATTTTCAATAAAATCGAGTTGACATTTACAGGTGGCAAATATTTCCGTCATTGCACACTGCATGGCATTGTCTGTAAATGATAGCTAATAAATTAAAATCTGATGAACAGTGGAAATTCTTCAAAACAACATCAATAAAATGGAGTTGACATTTAGCAGGATAGGTCCAGACAGTTCAGAAAGAAAGTTTTAATACAACATTATACTGTCTTCTATTATTCATAGCCAATCTAAAAATCCAGGTCTATTTTTACACTCTACTCAACTCTACTAAATATAGACTGTCATTCCCATACTCTCATATATTCCACAGTAACGACATTTTAAAACACACCTACACAATATCTTAATTACATATATTCTTATATTCAGTGGCAGCGCCAACCTTCCGTGACAGGGTACAAATAGGGGGCAGACTGACTCAATGGGGGGACAACTGCTGAGGCTGAATTTAAAGTTTGGCTACTCTGTGATGGTGTCATAGTCACAAGCCTCTCATAGAGTGTTTTAGAAGGTTCTCTCAAGAAAATTTTAGAAAAAATGATTTGATTTGTGCATTCTGACAAATATTTTGGAGAAAAAGGTAGACATTTAGATTTGTTGAAAATAAAGTGGGGGTACAATTGGGGTGCAAACCACTTTTCTAGGGAGTCACATGCCCACCCTGTACCCCTACTGCTTACATTGTCTTTATAATATTGGAATAACATTTAGAACAAGTTGTGTTCAATGATAAAAATAGTGTAAATTTGTAGTTGGTTATTAAAATTCCACTAAAACTTATATTCTACAGGAAACACGTGACACACCTACACAATATCTTAATTTCATATTTTGTAATTATATAGTCTTTTATAATCCAATGAAAGTTTGTCCAATGTTTAAAAGATTGTCAACTTGTCTGTGGTTCTTGAAATTCTACTGAATGTAAGTATTTTATCACAGAGTATATTTTAAACATATGAGAAACACCTACACCATGTTTCAGTTTATTATTATATTATCTTTGACAGAGTTAGGGTAGGTACCATAGCTACATTTGATATATTGAGCAGTACTATTTTAACAGTCAGAATTTGTTATTTTTATCTTTTACATATATAATTGGAATAATGATAAAAAACACAAGTTTTTGAATGAACCTATCTTTAAAAGGGCAAATAAAGATATATTTATTGACACCAATGTAGATTTTGAGATAATCTAACTAACTTACCTGAAAGTTTTCAAAACCAAATATATCTAAAATTCCAATAAATCTTAGTTGGTTTTGTCCTGGATTAGTACATTTATTAATAGCATCAACTAGCCAGGCGAACGTTCGGGAATATAAGGCTTTAGCCATTGCATGGCGGTTTTCAATTGACTGAAAAAAAAAGAAGACAAAATTATATTTATAAACTCAAGAACTGATTTTATGCTCCATTACCCTCAATACATGAATATATAAAAATATGGGAGCTTGGAAAAATTCCTATGCCTGTGCCAGTGCCTTCAAGAGACAGTCCAGTGTTGGCTCTCATCCCCTAATATCTAACAAATTTAGAAAAATCTTAAAACCCCTATCTATTTTATATTTCTCAATAAGAGTGGTGTCTTGCCCTCAACAAATATGAATTTGCAAAAATCATGGACACACTTAGCCCTTCAAAATTTATTAATTTAATATCTCCAAACATTCATTCATGCGATATCCTTATAAATATTTGTGTGATTTCAAAAGTGGTAAACTTCACAATTTACCCGTCTCCCTTTGATATCTTAAAAAGAAAGCTTTTGCCATTGCTCCAGATCAAAATGATTGAGGGCAATAAAAACATAGCCAAAATTGAAAAGACTATCCCTTACACCCCTCCCTCCCTTCCTCCCTGCCTGTCTGCCTGTCTGCCCTCCCTCCCTGCCTAGTAACCCTCTTCTATGCTAATTTTATGCTATTCCAAATTCTACTTTATTCAGCAATTTCCTAATCTCACTGATATCTTGCCATATTTCAAGAAATGAAAACTGAACTGTTAGGAAAATAAATTACGAGAGTGTTAGCAGGGAGTGAGTCAAATTTTAAAACAAGATATCATTCATTGAGTCAATCAACACTAGTATTAAAATATATAACTTTAATCTTATAATCTAGAAAAGTGAAAGAACTCTATGTTTAAAAGAAATGAATGGAATTTTGATAGAAGTGTAATGAGATATAATATTTATTAAGGTTCAAATCATGACAGTGGGGTTCTTTTCTCCTGGCAGATCAGTTCTGAGAGTGATCAGATACTAACACTGTGTTTGACAATCATGCCAAGATACATATGATACAAGAGTCAAGATACATAATATGATACAAGAGTCACAATACATATATGAGGTAATAGTGTGTGAATAATTTACATCCTCAATTAAAAGTATAAAATATAGACTTACTTCCTGAATTTTAAAGGGAATGCTTGTTATAGTTCCACGAACTTGAATCTGACGGAATAGTAAGGCTTCCATTAAGGCATCAAGTTCGAATCCTAATAATTCACACACCGTTTCTAAAATAACTTTATCATCCGGCGTAAAATCACTCTTTTCTCCTTCCACATCCTCGAATTTTAAATTCCCTAGTAACAAAATGGCTGACATGACACCAAATATCCCATCAACCATTTCAGGTTGTATGTTTATCACATTCATTGCTAATCGTAAACTATCGAAGGCCGTCGAATCGTCCACACCCCCTAGTTTATAACATCCACTCTGATTCAGATATGCATATGACTCTGGTGGTCCGATATGAAACTGTTTCGCGAGTTCTGGACACGATTTGGCTCCTGCTGTCAACTGATAAAAGATATGATAGTTACGTTCGTTTGCGGATTGAAACGTGATCCTTGATTGTTCCAGTAAATAGTCTTGAACAATGCAGCCCTTAATTTGGGAACTGTCATCGAAACACACTTGCATAAATTTACCAAAACGACTGGAATTGTCATTTCGGACTGTTTTTGCGTTTCCTGAAACAGAAAAGAAAACATTATCATGGTAGCATTGTGTAAAACAGATTTAAGACTTGAAATTATTATGCTTGCTGGTGGTACGATTTGAGCCCATAAACACAGAAATGTTAAGCAGATGACCATTAAACTTACAGTCAAATAAAATTCAGAGTGTTGGATCTAATTTTGGGTCAACAAACCAAATGGTTGGGAAGGGGCAATATGGAATGAGTCTATATATACCAAAATGATTTTTAAACATGAATCATGGGTAAAATAACAAGACCATTTTGACTATAACTCAATTACTATAATAATAGAATTTTTTTATTCATATTCAGGGATTGTGAGAGGTTTTGATATTGCTGCTTCAAAAAAAAAAGCTAAGAATTTCTGATATGTTTTGATTCATCAACAGAGGTTCATAAATATCTTATAATAAATCTAGTAAAATTCAACATTGTATCTTTAAAGTTTTTAATCCCAAAAGAGTACATGATTAAAGTAGAATTCAACTTCAATACAATCAATATCTTAGTCTACAATTGGTGAAAATCTATAAAACTTTAGATAATTAATTCTACTATTTCCAGGAATTTATGGCACCAAATTAACTCTTGTCTGTCTACTAGACATTAAGTATGGAACCAGCAGGATTCTGATAGAATAACACAGACTATTTATATATTTAATTAGTATTATATAGAGATAATGTAGAATGATTCAGACATGATTTAGATTATTATTGGATAAAGCTGTTGATTGTATTGTTTTTGCCGTTTATCAATTTACAATTGTTCAGTATATCTTTTAATATCAATCAATTTGTGTTCTATTGTTACTAGGGATCTTGTCAAAATTTCTACTATATTTTAGACAGTAAACGCTATGTACTGTACAATAAGGAAAATGTTCACATGACAGTGGTATAACCCTACCCTTTATAATTCCCCAGTGCCAAGGGAATCTTAACACTCACATAGTCTATTGCACTTCTTGGTCTCAGGTTCAATATTCTAAGGCTAGATGCTAGAGAGCCATTGTTAAATATATTTTAAGGTAAGTAAATTATAAGCCAACATCAATTTCAATCTCATCTTTTATTTTGCTTTTATATAATCTATGAGAGATTGTAACTAAGGAGGTTTTTGTAGTTTTTTATGTGCCAGTATATCAGGAACACTGATAACATCAATTTACACCATTCTAATTTTCTACTGAACTGATACACATGAAAAATTGAGAAATTTTCTTTACAAAATCAAACCCTGTTTGAAGATTGCTGAAATTTCAGTAAGGGAAATATTACTTCTCTTATAAGATCTAGCCAAACAAGAACCCAGGACAAATAAATAAAAACAAATTCCACACAATTCTATATATTATAATATCTCTATAGAATTATTCCTGGTATTTCTTACAAGACAATAGGTCAATAGGTCAATGATTATTTGAGAGAAAGAAAATAAAGGTGGTAGAATGGAATGTTGAGATGTAATAGTAATTAGGTTTAGGGACAACACCTCTGGCTCTACCTTATTCCTCAGACACCCTGAATGTAAAATAATGCTATCAGTGTCTCTGATAACACTACCCTAACCTCATGGTAAGAAAAAATCTGATGCCTGTGCCAGTGCTTTCAAGAGTCAGTCCAGTGTTGGCTCTCACCCCCTAATACTTAACAAATCTAGACAACCTTTTCACAATCTCTTAACGTTTAAGACAAAAACAATTTCTGAATATTTACTTCATTATTTACAAAAATTTGAAATTTCTATATTAATTTTTACAAGACCAACTCAAAGAGAAAATCTGACTTTAAAATGAGTGAAAAATGTTAAAAATTTTCATTGAAAACTAAAAGATTACAACTTGGCAAGAAGATCAGTGAGAAAATAAACAAAATTTTGATTTTTTTCGTTAGAAAGATATCACCTGTGTGTTTGCACCAAGTAAAAATCGACACCATGAGCCAAAATAACTTCACAGAAATAGGCCAGAATGTCTGCCTTCTGAAATTCTCTTTCTTTTTCTGACCCAAATACATTTGAATTGATAGAAACCTGGCTGTAAATTTAGAATGGTCACTCAAGAAATGACAACTAGGAATAATTTCCCTTTAGTGTATTCAGAATAAATCTTGCTGTAATTTTTATTTGGTTACCTCAGAAATGTCAATTCAAATTCTTTCCCTTCAATTCACAAAAACATATAGTAAGTTAGCATAAAGATTATATATTTCATTGTCAAGTTATTAACAATTTTTAATATGTAGATAGAGTCTTCAACAGGAAACAGCATTATCTGTTAATCGAAACCAGAAGAAATTTATGCAACCTTGAAAAGTGTTCAAATCCATGTGTGTCCAGAATTATCTATGTTTGAATGTTAAAGTGATGTCAATTTAAGATATTCTGTGATATATAGAAGACATTATATAGAAAAAGTGAGTAAAATTCCTAGTTTGAGATATTTTAAAAGGAATAATGTGATTTTCATATATTTTTAGTACTTCTGAAGATTATTTGTATATATTCAAGACTAAAATCAACCCCCAAAATTGGCGCACATGCCCCTTTAAACACAAGAATTATATCATCATGAAAAGTGTTTTGATAAATTGCATGTTAAACGCAACACGACATCTTCTATATTAATTTCTATGATATAGTTTTTGACATCAAGAACATGAAGTTAATTTAATATTAACTCTATCAATAGATGAATTCACAGTTTGAGATGATGAGTTTCTACAGGCTGAATGATATTATTCTTACATCAACCAATATACTGCTGGTAGATATACTACCTTGATACATTATCTATATACTGACAAGTAAAAACTCTAATTCAAATCTGTACAAGAAAGACCATTCTATCAATCAACAATCTGGTTAAAAAAGAACGGCAAAATCGGGAGTAAAATTTGTATAGTACAATCAGGTGTTTCAAAAAGAGTAAGCATGGTGTTCTTTGCTTCACCACGTATCAATGATATGTTTCAGTGTATGACTTTAATTTCGTAAAAGCTGATTATAATATCTAAGGACTGCAATGGCTATTTCATAAAACACTTAGTTTTTGTGGAATTGTAAGAATCACAGACGTCTGATTGAAAATTAAAATGGTACAAATTGATTATATTAGTGTCCCTGATACAAGTTTAGAAATCTTCATTACAATCCCTTTTCAAGTTTTGAAAGGTATAAGTCAGATTTAAATAGCGTTGTCCCAAGAAACAGATTGGAAAAGAAAGATATAAAATTCTAATTAATGATGAAAGACAGGATGTGATATACTTTACTATTATCAATTATTCTATTAATATAAACTATATCTGTTAGTTTAAAACTTATAAACTGGCCAACATGAAGTGCCATGGCATGAACCAGGAAACAGGCGTCAACACAAAGACATTAAATACTCATATTGAAACACAGGATGTAATATACTTCAAGATTATAGACATACAATTCTAATTAATAAGTCAATTAATACAAGCTGCATTACTCGTTACCTAACGACCTTTACCCATATATAAACTCTTAATCAATCAATATCATACAGTCTCTTTTTATCTCTTAAACAGAAGAGTTCAATTCTTAGCGTCAGAACAAATATTAGCTCAAGGCTCGTAATGCTAAGTAAGCTGAAAGGTGAAAACAGTTCGCAGGATGTTCGGATTGTAGACAAACTAAATCTGATGTTTTTATAACTGTTGTAATCAATTCAATATTATGCTTATTTTCCTTTTCATATTTGGATTTTAGAAATGAAAATATTTTAATAAAACTGATTTTAGTTTTTCTCAAGAGTATTAAAATGTATCAAATATATAATGTTAGAATATTATCAATATGGAATGTCGATTTTACTAAATATCTCCTTTTAATCCTTTAAAATGTTGTTAAATATCAACAAAATCAAGCTAGATATATTCCTACAATATACCAAAAAAACAATACAAGTTATGTGGACTCTCTGAAATGGATATTGAGTTGTCAAACAATTTTTGAAAGCTGTATCAGGTGTTTCAGAAGTAAGAAGTCTCGCAAGCAACACTGTTCACAATGCAAGTAACACCCACCACAAAACATATAACATTGGGGTAAACTTACATCAGCTATGTGTACTCTCCGAAACATTTTCAAAGTGATATCAGGTGTTCCAGAAGCTGTTAGGACACTGTCTCACTTGAAACACTGTTCACAATACTTATTGGTGTAAACATAGTTCAGCTATGTACACTCTTTGAAAGGAAAGTTAAGTTGACAAACCATCTGTGTTCAAAAGAGTGAAAATGCTGTTCCCTATTGCCAGAGTTACCAACCACAATACTTATTATAGCTGAGTTGAAATTTATTATTCACAGACTCCAGAGATAAAAGATAATAGGTAAAAGAATTTGTCACCTCATTTAAAGTTTACAAGTATCTAATAAAAACCACTGTAAGTTGTTAAAATGTTGACAATTCTATTGTCCTGTATTAAGTTAAATAATTAACAGTAAATTGTTAAAAACATGTTTTATTTATTCAGTTGTTATAGAAATCTACTCATAAACCATAGTACATATATACCAAATTAACAATATTAGTTCTTGGAATCTTTAGAGGAGATACAGGGACAATAGGAAATGTGCCAAATTAACAAATGAGGCACATGGCATCTTTAAAAGGGATACAAGGACAATAATTAATGTTCTTTGTCCTTCCTTCATAATTGTTTTGAATTTGATCATTTCTTTTTAAACAATATTTGAAACTTAAGGAATTCATTCTCCTCTTTTCAGTTTGGCGTCATAGGATGTAAAAGAGACAGAACTCTGATTGGCTGATGTGATAATATTGCCCATCTCTAGAATTTCCGGAGATTTTCTGAATAAAGAATGATACCCTTACCAAAAGCTTCGAGAACTGTATTGGCCTCAAGAATCTGTTGTTCAGTCCAGAAAGAAGTATGATTGGTAACTGAACATAAATATTGTAATATAAACTTGGTTGTTTCAGTCTGAAATAGAGAATATTTATATACAACAAGGGCAATAACTCCTTCAAATGAAATTAGAGTACATACTTGACAATGAAACATTAAAGGGATTGTAAAGAGGTTTTCTAAACTATCAATGTGTACCAGCGACACTGAAAGTATCAACTGCACCGTTGCAATTTTTAATCAGATGTCTGTGGGTTTTGAAATTCCACTAGAACAGGGGCCTTATTTTTATAAGCTTCTGTAATAATGTAGTTTTAGTTTATATAACTGCTTTTGATGTCTCTGATATACTATGAAAACATCTTTACTATCCTTTCAAAGATTTTCTTCTTTTGACAAAAAAAAACATTACAATTCTTTTCCTACCTTCCCAGCACCACTCTCCCCTGCGATGATACACGATTGGTTATCATCAGATTTACATAAATTTTGAAATGCTGCTTCTGTGATAGCGAAGACATGAGGTTCAACTTGACTTAGTTTCTGACCACTGTATTCTTTTACATGTTTCTAAAATAGATAAATAAAAGATATTTATACTGTATTTTAGGGGTGAGATGTAGCACAGTTTGATAAAGAATTGGAAACTTTACATGAAATCATTTGCATGGCTACAACAAACAATTGATGGTCATGGGTTCTTATCTCAGTCAGTGTCATCTTCACTCATCATTCGAGCCGACTCAGCTGTAAATAGGTACAGATAATCTGGGAAAGATCAATATCAGGTTTGACCAAGGACCAGCTGGTCTCGTGAACTCGAGTTGTTATCCTAGTAATAATGGTTGTTTCTTATTTCTTTCTTACATTGGAATTTGGTGTTCAGGTGATATGAGAATTTAACTCATAGAAAGCACGGGCCTAGGTAATAAGTGAATATCAATTTGAAAATTAAAAACACAAAATTTGTAATAAGTAAAGTAAGTTCTACTGCAATTTTTTATTTTTTTATAAATTTTTCAGGATGAAAAATACTGTGCACTATACAGTAAAGATAACCATGTGTTCAGAACACCATGACCTCAGAATATAGCTTAATTAATATGATTTCCATTCTTCTACATACCCCGTATAAAACAGATATATCTACAGCTGTACCTAATAGATCCTACAGATATTACCAATGTTTTGAAATTTGATCTCCAAGTTTTTCTTGGCAACTAAAATTATCTTTTCCTATATTCATCTTAATTTTATCTCTATTTATTTTTATCTTTTAATGAAGTGAAAATATCAACTAGTCTTAGAATTCACACTGAAATCAATTTCATAGACTCTGAATGTACTACAATGTTGTACTTTCATTTTTCAACCTGGAGATAATTTTAAAATATTTGGTTTACAACATGTGATTTATAGTCTAGCATTACTTTTGGACAATTATAATTTGTCATTCTATTATGTCAGGCTATATTCTCAGACATGAAAAAGATTGCAGGAAAACCAATGAAAATTAGTAAATAGTAAGGAATTATAGAAGACAGAGGGGTAAGGTAATTGATCAAAGGTCCTGAAAGGAGTTATAGAAAGAAATGGGTTGAAAACTCATGATTTGAAACCAGGTAATAATTGAAACATATTTCAGAAAACCCAATTTATATATACCCAAAATTATACAAATCTATGTTTAACTTACCTGTTCATAAATTGGTACGTTTTTATACGGATTAACAGCTACTAGGATAGATCCTGTAAACGTCTAAGATAAAGTTAAGGAATATACAACATAAAAATTGCATTTTGTGGTCTTCACAATAACATTTTCACATTTCAACAATTAAGGACATAACAGGTAACAAAAAATATTCACATAAGTCAATCATGGACAGCAGTATTAGCCTGCTCTTTTGATTTCTAACTGTAGAGGGATCATTAACGTGCACACAGGGCCTCAGTTTATTGTCCCATCCGAACGACTGGATCCTTTTCCATGTCAACCCCTTTTACCTGCATCACTGACAGGGGGAAACCGTGTTGAAAGGAGATAGGGATAAGCTTTTTGATGTAGTGGTGATTTTTTGATTTTTCTAAATATAAAACATAGCTGTCTTGGTTCAAATAGCATGGATGTATGGTTTCCTATGGCATATCTGTCTCATTTCATGTTCTATGTAACAAGGGAGTGAATAAAAAACCTCATTTTCAAGTGTAGACGACTATAAAATAATACAATAGGTCTGAATCAATAAATAATAATAATAGAGAGATTAAATAATAATCACAATGTCTATCACAGAACTTTTTATTTATTCTATTATCAAGATGTCTATAAAATATTAGACAATTATTCATTCAGTTTCATTGTATTATTTATTATTTCTTCTTCACGGCTTCTAGTTCAGAAACCGAATGAGATTTCTATGAATTACTGATAGAGCAATACAAATTGTCGAAATTCTGCTTAGCAATAGCAGAACACTACATTAAAGACAGATGGCATCGCGTTAAGAGGTGAAAAGTGGAGATATATTATTAGAAACCAATGAAAACCATTTGTGAAGCAGGCAAATCACCTAATTCAGCTATTGAAGACAATGGGGCAACTCCATGCAGTGTGCAAAGAGGGAAATTTTTCCAGGTCAGCGGCATTAACCTGCTCTTTACCGATTTCCAACTGTCAAGGGATTTTTAACATGCACCACTTGTAGCACACGGGCCTCGGTTTATTGTTATCCGATTGACAATAAGGTGCATCAAACCTTTGACCTGAATACACTAATAACCTTACCATTTTCTTTGCTAGCATGACTGTAATGCAGAATTAGAAATTTTTTTTTTTTAGATTATGAACAAAGTAAGAGTTTTTATTCAGACCAATGATAGAAAGCCATAAGTCTATACTAGAGAAAGCTATCAGTCTTTACAACCATCAATTATTGATCACTCTAAGAAATTCTCTGTTATCCCATCTTACTAGATCATAGACATTGTTAGGACATTTTATAGCCTTCCTTTACTAGGTCAATATGTCCCCTAATTCAATAGTTTACATTCTATATAGGAAATAGTAACTAATGGAATGGAATGGACTGTCTGTCACCCTTGACCATTCTCTGGCCCCTTCTTGATCCTCTGCTTAATGATACCAAGAACATCACAGACCCAAATTCAACAGTTTACACCAGAAATTGAAATAAATTGAACAAAGCATTGAATTAATTCTGACTTGGAATGGCCCAAATTGATGATATCAGTGTCCCTGATACATATAACAAATTAAGAAAATGTCTGTAATAATATATAATAAATGTAATTGAAAGGCTTAAAGTAGTAGAAAAATAATACAATTACCCAAGAAAAAACCAAACCTCTCTCTCAAAACACATACCTGAAGAAAAGTTGTTCCAAAGTTGATAGAATATGGCAGAAAATAAAGACTCTACTCTTCAAAAGATTGAAAAGAAACCACTCTGTTTGGTATCCAGGGTCCAAGTGAGACTATAGAGATCTAATGTGATGAAAACTCACCAGCAACTCACTGGACTGACCACCCTAAACACAGTTCACCCATTGTCAGACCAGTTAACACATTGTCCAATCAGACCAGTTAACACATTGTCCAATCAGACCAGTCAACACATTGTCCAATCAGACCAGTTAAAAAGATTAGAGAGGACAATAGCTAAAGTCAGTAAGGCCAATATCTAGTAATTATGTGCTGTTTAAAACATACAGATGCATTATAAAACCAGACAACAATTAAAATACCAATAAAAATCTGTACAAGCAAAATAATTCTATTAACCACAAATCTCATCCAAAGTTTCATATATTGTTTAGTTAAGAGTGACAGTGCCAGTGACAGTGAGGTTACAGGGGGTGTATTTGCCCCCCTAGAAAAATGGTTTGTACTCAAAACTTCATTTCAAAAATACAAATTTAATTCCTTTTTATGCACCAAAATATAATTGAAATCACAGATATCTGAGGGAAAATTTGTAAGATGCAAATAGAGGACATCTTAAACAGCTAGAAAAACTCTTTACAATAACTTTTACATGATAAAAAAATGTTAAAATCGACAAACAAATGGGAACAAGGCAATGTAAATCAATGAAAATACTAATAAAAGCAATTAAGAAAAAACACTCTGAAGAGTTGAAGAGATTCGGTTTAAAAACAACCAAATGAGTATCAGCTAATACTATATTTCCCTAGAGTTAGTTATTTATTCTAACATAGAAAATATATTAACACTTCCCTACTTTACATACATGGTACATGAGCAGCATATATATAATATACTTGAATAGACCTGGTGATATATAGAGGATCTTAAACGAGTGCTTATGTCATATGAAATGAGATGCCAGATGAAATGAGTTGCCAGATGAAATGAGTTGCCAGATGAGTTGCCAGATGAAATGAGTTGCCAGATGAAATGAGTTGCCAGATGAAATGAGTTGCCAGATGAGTTGCCAGATGAAATGAGTTGCCAGATGAAATGAGTTGCCAGATGAGTTGCCAGATGAAATGAGTTGCCAGATGAGTTGCCAGATGAAATGAGTTGCCAGATGAAATGAGTTGCCAGATGAAATGAGTTGCCAGATGAAATGAGTTGCCAGATGAAATGAGTTGCCAGATGAAATGAGTTGCCAGATGAAATGAGAGTGAGGGCGAGGGAAATATTAAATACTGCAACGAATAAGACAAATTCATTAGACCAATACCGCCCAGGCATGAATGCAAATGTGTCAGAAGGCAGAAAAATTTGGCTTAAAGTATACCAATACTTTACAAATCTCAAAGGTTTTGGATATAAGCTTAACTAAATACTGTGGAGGGTGTTGCTAGTGAGTCAGTGTTACACTTTCACAACACTTGATGCCACTATGTGAATAGGTTTGTCAATTTGGCATCTCTTTCAGAGAATCTACATAGATAATACTGTTATTTGGTATTAAGATTTATCACCTCTATATCTCTTTCAGAGAGTTCACATAGCTAATAATGTTTATTTGATATAGGTTTATCAACTCAGGATCCCTTTCAGAGAGTTCACATAGCTAATAATGTTTATTTGATATCTAGGTTTGTCAACTCTATATCTCTTTCAGAGAATCTACATAGATAATACTGTTATTCGGTATTTAGATTTGTCAACTCAGTATCCCTTTCAGAGAGTCCACATAGCTAATAATGTTTATTTGGTATCTAGGTTTATCAACTCAGGATCCCTTTCAAAGAGTCCACATAGCTAATAATGTTTATTTGATATAGGTTTATCAACTCAGGATCCCTTTCAGAGAGTTCACATAGCTAATAATGTTTATTTGATATCTAGGTTTGTCAACTCTATATCTCTTTCAGAGAGTCCACATTGGTAATAATGTTTATCTTGTATATTATTATAAAGGCTATTTAAATTGAAACTTTGTATTGAGAATCAAATAATATTATTTAAGAAGCTCAACTTTAAAAATTCTTTATTAGAACTTCTAATCAATAGTTTTACTAAATAAATGATAGCCCTTTTAAAATATCAAAATATACCCAATCTTACTAAAACA